AGTGTTTCTGGAATCATGTTTGGTCGTGACTGGTTCCTCATAGTCGGCCTACTGTTGTATGTTTGGCTGGTGGTTGGTTTCTCATAGTCGAGACTCTGTTCATAGGAGTTGGAGTTTTTTAGCGGTCGCATATCTCCATTTTTCTTCATGAAGTTGCATCTGTGTGTGGTTTTTAAGTTTTCCGTTATGGGTTGCGGCGGTTTTTCGTCTTTGTTCGAGTTTGAGCTTGCCGTTACATGTTTGTAACAGTTTTCTCTGTGTCATCTGGGTTGAATTTTGAGGTCTAAATCGGGTTTGTAGTTTCTGGCTCAAGTCATGACTTCTCCGTGGTTTGATTTCACTTTTCTAGGTTATTGAATTGTTAAGTTATATGTTATTGGGCTTAATAGTGTCACTGGGCTTAATAGTTGTTGAAATTGGGCGGGTTTTATCTTAATTTGATTATTGTTGGGCAGAATTTGTTGGACTTTGGGCTATTGTGTTAATGGATATTAGTTGCGTAGAATGTTTAGATTATAATTAATTTTTGGCTAGATTGTACACGGTTTAATCATGTCTACTTAGAAGAAATAGTCCGTTTGCACTTGCTTTACTGGGAAGAAGTATTCTTCATGGGCATTTCACTTTTAGTTATTGGTCGACAGTAAAGGTGATCTGTGGGGGACATATTTATAAATGTCTTTCGCCTCCTGATCAATAATGAGAAGTATCTTGCTTGGAAAATCAAGCATTCTCGAATTATGGCCTGGATCATCAAATCGGTTGATGTGCAGATTGTCTTTAATCTCATACCTTAAAAGTCAGCATGCTATGTGGGAGTTCTTGAAGAAAGTCTATACTCTATGCAACAATACTCGGCTATATCAGTTGGAGTTTGAATCGTCAAATTTTTGTAGGAGTCACGTTCCATTCAAGAATACTATTTGAGTTTTTTTTTTTTATCTTTGGGTTGAATACCACGCTATGTTAGCTACTTGTTCTGAGATTGTGTGGTTGCGAGGTCTTTTAGCAGAACTTGGTATTTTCCAATCAAAGTCTACACCACTTCATGATGACAACACTAGTTATTCAGATTGCGGCTAATTTTGTATATCATAAACTTGCCAAACACATTGAAGTAGATTGTCATTACATCCGGGATGTCTA